ATTCTCCTCCATATGGGATGCCGGCTGTCCTCTTGAAGGTTGGTCATGTGAGTAATGGGACCAGGTTATGTGAGGGGCAGACAAATACGGTCTGTTCAGCCTTTAAACCCTCCGTTCGTCTTGATACTGTCTGATCATCGGAAGCAGATACAGTGAGTGGCCGATCTCATGAAATGTTGGTCAAAATTCAGAAATGCGTTTTGATTAGAAAGGATGACTTAGGTGGGGTTGTAATACTGATTATCTTGCGCATAATCCTATAACATTTCGAACTCGGCAGGATGTCGGCTTTTAAATGCACTTCTTCTTCACCTCCTGTAAAAACCGCGTTTGGAAAAAAAGAACTACTTAAGTAGCATGCATTTTTCTAATTGATTTTCGACGTTCTTATAAAATCGAATAGAGTATATGAAAAGCGTGAACAAAAATATTCTTTCTTCCACTCGTGCGACAGAGACTCTCGACATCTTCATATTTTATACTCGACGAAAGAGTATAATTAGGCCTTAAAAAAGTTTCCAATTATGAGATTTTTTAAGACCGTGCCATGTCTACTAAAACAGCTTCGTACATGCTCGTTTACCACTGCTCCTCATGAAATGTGCAACATAATCCGCACCCATTGCAAAATTTTATGGACTCATTATGGCATCTTTTTAAAGGCATAGAAGAATTTATGATTTCCCTTACGCGGAATGGATGCACCTTGTAGATTGAAATCACTAGGCGCTAATGCAACGGCTGATCAGGTTCCAAATTATTTGGGAATTAGAAAACTTTTTCAAAAATTAATTATACTCTTTCTTCGAATATAAAATAAAAAGATGACGTGATTCTCGATAACAAGAGTGAAAGAAAGCATATTTTTGTGCATGCTTTCTACAAAATACATTTGAATGTGTAAGACCATCGAAAATCAGCGTGAAAAATGCATGCTACCGAAGTAGTCATTTTTTGTCGAGTGTGGTTTCTGCAGGAAGTCAAAATGAAGTCGACATCATGGTAAGTTTGAAATATTACAGGATGATGCCGCATGATAATCAATGCTACAAACCCACCTAAGTAATCCTTCCTAATCAAAACGCGTTTCAGAATCCTGGCTAACATTTCGTGAGATTGGTCACTCACTGCAGGTATGCTGGGAGAAGATTCGGTAAATAATGTGCGAGGTTGCACCGCTACAAACTAATTCGGGTACACGTCACCGCCCTGAGCCTACTTAGTTTGGCACATGGTGGGCATTAAGGCCGCCCCGGGAACCCAGCACGACCGCGTTTGACAAACGGTTATCACAGGTGCAGCACGATGGTGAATGCGTCCGGTAAGACTGTTCTGACTCTTGATGACATGCGAGTAGAAAGAAAGTTGATTACGTTGCTGAGGAACTCGTTGAACTACGGGCTGACATAACGCAGGTTAAGGCTACAATGGCCGAAATTTTAACGGCCGTTCAGGAATTACGTCTGCCTGCTGAAGCGAGACCTCCTTCACTGAAGTTGCCTCTGTGTACGAAGGAGGCTTACAAGGCTTTCATCAGTGAGCTTGACAAGAATGCTAGTTTCGCTCAAGACGCGGAATGTACATATACTGACACTTCTTTATTTGAATGGATTGTAGATTAAACGTCTGGCGAGTACAGACGGGCGAAACGAGAAAGAGTTTGTCAGAAATCTACTGACCACTCTACTCGGCCACCCACTATGCCTCAGTTTCTGCTGGGGCGGAGCAAGAGATAAGCAGGCCTTCGTCGGCAGCCCCCTTTATGGCCTTGTTATTGGTAGGATATTTATTTTTAAGATTACTTGTTCAGCTGCAATTCGTGAACACGCCGCCTTCTCAAATTGCACCGTTGACACAATTCGCAAAAGTACAATTGATTGGTTCCACGGCGCGCGTGACAGATACGGTGGCCGATCAAAGCGGAGAGATAATACCACTGCAAATGCCACGGTAAATTAATTGACTTGAGTCTTTATAAGCCACTTTCAGCTTCCCGTCAGCTACAGCTCAGCCGAAGAATATATGATGCAATCTACTTCCGAGGACACTGTAAGTGAGCGTTTCTTTATATCTATTAAACCTGCATTTATTCGAGCCTATCAACTTCAAAATACTTAGATCATAAAATATACTACTAAAATGCCTTATTTCAATAGTATGTTTTTGACAATTTAATTAATAGGACGCTGTGCTTTATTTTATTGTAGATACCCGCCACCGACATGGACGGATTACCAAATATGTCCCTTGAGGAAACATGACTATTTGTACGTATCAAATTTTCATCTTTATCGATCAATAAATTTTCTTTAACCAATAAATGCCGTTCAAGTGTGCTGATGGATATGGTTCGTTGGGGGGTTTGCAATCACGCGTGAAGGTCCGCTAACGGTCGCGGGAGATATTGGCTTTGGGAAGGCGAGCCGGAATGAAACATGACATATTTGGCGAAATGGGGTTCGCTAGAAGGTAACAAGGGATAAAATAGGACAGATACCGGGGAAAATCTGTCTAGGAAAAGGGTGATCAGGATTATAACGCGAGTAATTAGACGTTAATGGATCGGTATTACGGTCAGACAGTCGAATATGGCCATGGGTGGGGGCAAAAAACGGTAACTATAAGGCGTCCCTCTGCGCATTTTTTTGTCGATGAGGGGGCCAGAGGGGGCCACATCGGGGATTTGCCCCGCCATAGCCCCCTCTCCAGCCCCCTCATAGCCCCCTCTGGCCCCGCCATAGCCCCCTCATGAGGCGGGGCCATGAGGGGGCCAGAGGGGGCTGGTGCTGGCAGGGTTGCTTGATACAGTAGAACTTCTGTCGTATATTTTCTTTTCTATCGTTTCGTAGTCGACTATCAGGTTAGATTTGAGATGGAAAGGCTTGCTTTCTCTTCAGCCTATTCAAGCGATTATTGCCTGGGTAATCACAAATATGAGAACCTTCTACGTACTCAGGGCAAAAGCGAACTGAATGTCTATCTACTGGTCTTTGCTGCACTTCATCGGAAACTAACGGGCTCCTTCCTGTTTGAATAGCTCCCGTCAATTCCGACTCACTTCGGTTCTGAGTATTCTAATATTGACTTGGCCAGCAACTCTACTGGCTGCCTCCATCTTTATAGCATCGTCCCCAGTAATGATCTGTGGCATTACGTTTGACACATCTTTATAAATGCCCGGAGGTATTCTTAAAAGAACCCAACCTGCCCAGTGAATTTTTTTCAGTTTAGCCGAACGTCACTCCCGGTGCATTTCTAAGATTCTTTCTTGCTCGAGCGAGCGTTTCGAATTTGACTTGGATGGAGACCTCAGAGGAAATCGCGGAGAATATGACATGATCCGCCACAGAAGAGCAGCAAGCAGACGATCATCGCCCCCCCCCGCATTGAGACTGAAGAGAAGCAGGCAATCAATAATAAGACGCAGGCCGTTCACATGCAAATGAGGTCACATCAAAGGAAGAAGTTAAATAAAAACGGACTGACGACTGAAAAGGGAGCGACAGAAATCGGACGACTTCGGAGTACTCGAAGAAAAGAACTCCCTAAGGTGGAAAGGCAGAGTTTATGTTTCAGTTTAGCCAAATGTCACTCCCGGCACATTCCTACAATTCTTTTTTTCTCGAATGCTCCGCCACCAATGAGCTATATTTCAGTGGTGTTCCCCATCTATGTTTCTTCCCTAGTGTTGATTGGCTCATTGAAAAAGTTTTCTTCCATATCCCGTCTTCCTCATCGAAGTTGAATTAAGACACAGACGAATAAAGAGTCCAAAGTGCTTTAGGACTGAATTCACTTCAGTAGTAGGGAAAATTCGATTCCCAGGTGGCCCGCCTGGAGAGGTTTACTTGAGGTCTGGCGGTTCAAACGGTGAATTCGCCCAAACATCTTAGGGGACTGGTGAGTTCTGTTGACAGCTCTCCGAATATGACTTACTTTGCGCGCTACGTAGGTCGTCAGTGTCGACTGCGAGAGCCTCCTCTGTCACCGTGACCTCTGTCGTCCCTGCCCTCGTTCACTGATAATTGGGGGACCTCGAATATGTGCAGCCAAGCTTGCTAACAGAACCGTCAGATCTCACATAAACCCATCTCGTTAAACACCAAATCCCTGCAAATCAAGTGACTGCCGCTCACTATTAACTCGTCTAACTTCAAAGTAAGCAAGGGTCAGGAAGACATAGCCTCGTTTATGGATCTTGGATAGACTCGCCCTTATACACAGCCACAACACAAACTCGTATCTGTACTATGTTGTTGCTATTCACAGGGGCTATCCTTAACTTGTGAACTTTTTGCAGTTCCGGTCTTCTGGGAATCTCGTGGGACCTCGTAGCTCAGGTGGCAAGAGCGCTGGCTGTACTCAAGTCCTCCCCTTGCCGTCATGGGTTCGAATCCTACCGAGATGGGTGAAAATAAAGGTTCTTGCAATCGACCGTTGAATTTAATCTCAAGTGGACCCAACTGTATCCAGGTCGGGAGATCCAGTCGGCCACAGAGTACATCTAAGGCTGTGAGTGCATCTGAAAGACTGAACAGTGCAGTTTTGACGAGCCTTGGAAATCGTTCCTGTACCCCCACATAGTCCAAACCGACAACACTCTCACCAATAAAACCGACTGTCCTTGCCTTAAAGTGAAGCAGGAGAATAAGTATTCCCTCCCCCTGTATTGCAGGCTAGAGCTAAAGTTAGGACATGGAATTTCGCGCACAACCATCTGTAGCGCAGGGGTATTTAGTCCTGTGTTCAGCTTGCCTAAGCTCCAGGCAGCCGAACAAACCTCTGTCGAAACTTGGACATCTTGGTAGCTCGTTTCGTCAGATGATGGCTCACTCTCCAAATTTGGGCTCCTCCCCCGATCCTTCTTGGTCCAAACCGTGATTAATTTGCCCAACCAACATTGCTTCATTGCGGAGGACGTCGCATATACTGCCGTATGGCCCAATCCAAGTGGGTTTGTTGGTGGTAGCCATTCAACCAGAGCGCTTTAAGCGGTCATCCTGCCTTTGCGTGGTGTCTGTTTGAAACCCTTCTCGCAGTGCGGATAGATTCTTAGAATTCATATTTCACGCTACCAAATGTAAGAGGACGCAATAAGAGTGCAACTGGCACATCTGGATAGTCTCCTGTGATATCGTACTGGGCCGTCGCTTGATAGCCACCACCTGACATTTATTCTTACACATCCCCTGTTTGCCTTGTTTTATTTCCGAGGAAGTGAATGCGCGAACTTGGAGTAAATCCGCCGGTAGAGACCTTTTTAGGCATGGTAAGCAATTGCACACTTCTATACTACTGACTGCCTGTTGGCGGTTTGTGAATATTACGCGATTATTGCGTAGTAGCTGATGTCTTTCAGCTCAAATATTCATATCAAATTCTGAACCGTGCCTGAAATGGTCAGTTCCGAAGGATTTTCTCCAAATTCGTGCATTCATTTCCTCGGAAAGTTAACAAAGCAAAATGGAACTGGAGTTCATATATAAGAAAAAACACACGGGAAGGCTGGGGGACCCACGGATGAGTGAACCCCTCGCAGTTGCGTCAGGCAGCGGCGCAAGGTCGGCGAACCACGCGTGTCTGGGCTTCTACCTTCTACCTGTTTTTTCAGTGCGGCAAATAATTACAGCACCTCATCCCTGTTTATTATAATTCAGATCATCACACAAGGACGGTTCTGGGCCCATCCAAACCACTGGTCTGACTTGCCTGCGTTTCGCGATTTAACAGCTTGTCGTACACTTTTGTTCTGCCGGACAGTGCGATGACTCCAAAGGTATACTGTTTTGTTCAGACAACGAGTCACCGATATATAGCTCTGAACAGGATCTAAAATGGGTCCGACAGGTCATCGCAAACGCGATGTACTCACTTGCTTCCTAAGATGGGACGTATAGGCGCTTCTAATGTATATTGAGCGACCCAGACGGATAGGTAAGGATCCACGTTTTTCGGCCAATCATGTGCACATATGTTTGTGTCCCTAAAACAGACCACGCGGTAAACGCGGAGTCCGGCAGATGTTATCAGGAACGCGTATCTACAACAAATGTCAATATTCGGGGTGTGGTGTCGGGCCCAGTTGCAGGGTCCCGCGGCGCACATTAGGATTCTTGCCGTCCGCTCACCCCCCCCCCCCCCTTACATTTTGTTGTCTGCTATTTTGCCCAAGTGTTTGTTGTCCAACAGGGAATGTGGTGGTACGCCTGGGTGCGAGCACGGTAGTGCCAGTCCCCCCCACCCCTCACCTCGAGTCTTCTTGATTATATATTGATAGCGGGTCCGGGTGAGGAGGAGAATGAGGAGGAGGAGGAGGAGGAGGAGGAGGAGGAGGAGGAGGAAGTCTGTTAGATGCTACGCAAGTCTACTATCACTAGAAAAGAAAGCACGCGCAGGTCACCGTGCCCGCTGTTGCCCCGCTATGGAGCACAGGCTGGACATTGTCGGCCACCAAAACTGAACTGTTGTATGCGCAGGTGAACAGAAGTTCACCACTGACTGTTGGAACTACTGGCAGGTCTGCAGACAAAAAAACAATGGCGGCTAAATTTCGTGAATACAAGCGCTGCAAAGGATGGATCCAAAGACCGTAATTTTTTTAAATTTGATAGAAATTCCGAATGTGGCAATAGTCCTTCCAAAAAAATGCACTTTCACATAATTTTAACATTCCTGGGTAGCCCCTTGCAATCAGTGACTATGTGCACTTTGGCGAACCGATAATATTTATATGTATGAAGAAGAGGATAGGAATAAAAAGGCTTCACGATGAATATGACGTCGATATTGTGCAAGATATGTAAAGGTGCATCGGAAGCTAAAAGTACGACTACCTAACGACCTAGATAGTACCATAATCCCCTTTCTAATCAGGACGGTTGAAGGAACTTAATGTGCCTAATTTTGCACTATTATTTATGATTGAAATTCCAGTATTCTAAATGTGCAATTCTTCTGTTTAACAGATGATGCGCAAATTCGTTTTTTCTCCACTCTGCAGCGCTCAGGCAGCTACATGAAGAGAGCATTATCCTGCCCAGGGTCGGACCTGCTCTCACCCCCTACGGATAATAGTTCCGTCGCGCACAGATATACCACAATTGTCGGTGATGAGCTGTCGTGGGCAGATTCCGCAAATGACTGCAGTAGAGTATCTGGACCAGATGGAAGACAGACACCTCGGGCTTTCTCCTTGGATAAAAACTGCAAGGCATCCTCTAGCCGATCAAAATGGTGCTATTAGCTCCCACAGTGCATCGCTAGTCAGCTTCCGGTTTTCTTGAAAAACCCCACTTCCCTCGATCGTTTGAGTGAAAAGAAGCGGAAGCTTAAGAATAGGATGTATTTTTAGTTTTTTTCTTTACTCGCTCTGAACTGAATAAGGAACCTTGAAAGTCAGAAAATTGTCCTTTATTCAGTGAAGTAACCCTCAATAAACATTGAACAAGGAGGTTATTGTTGAAAGCTTTAAGAAAATCAAGATCTTTATGTTTAAACCGTAATGAGCAATCGGGGGAAACGAATTGCCGTTTGTCATATGTTCTGCCTTTTACGAATCCACCTTGAGCAACTTCGTAGTTGGTATTCTGTCAGGATCGTTTTGCGCCAGGATTGTGTCGAAAGACGCGGCCGTGGTTGCCTTCTTTACATCAGAGCCTCACTTACACAGTCCCCTTGAGACCTGAACATTTCCTCTTTCTCTGGAAATTTAGGTTTCGCTTCGGTAATACTTCCGCAAAATATGAAAGCCTTAGTCGGATGTGTATATAATCCTCCTTGTTACTCCGGAAATGAAAGCCAAATCTGTGGATTCTTTGAAAAAATCGCAGAGATTTCTTTCGATGTCAAGATCATCGTAGGAGATTTTAATTTGCCAGAAATTGACTGGCACACACATACTTCCTCACCTAAATTCCAGAAGCTTCTAGACGCCATTCACTTTTCAAACCTGTCTCAATTAGTCCACTCTTCGAACAGAAACGATAGTGTATTATATTTATTTTTAAATAATGACACCTTCCCTCTTTCTATGAATTTACATCGTGATATTTTTGTAAATGATCATGCAGTAATTCAGTGTCGCCTTCCATTTGCCATTGCCGCAAAGCCAACAGTACAACGTAGTATTTTTCACTTTGCTAATATTAGCAAGGAATTAATAAATAATGTTCCAAGCACTCTTGACTGGCCCAAAACTTTTTCAAATAGTGATTTAAGATTTTTCAACAATTTATTACAATGCGTAACAGAAGGTCTTCTAGACCTTATTCCACGGAAGACGTTTAAATCGAGTGCCACTTCCACCGCTGTCCCACACTTTCATAAAAACCGGTTTAAAAAGCTACCTAAGCAGCTTAAATATTCTCTTTCTAGCTCATTATCCGCTCACATAAGAATAGTTGAAATGTTTGAATTAGCTTCGAAAATGAGGCTCGCGCGAGATAGGCGTAGAGAGTCTTTATCTATTAATGGCGTGAATGCTTCTCAATCAGTTGCTCAGGTCTACCGTGAAAAATCATCTTCTAAATCTCACCAAGTCATTCCGCCTTTGCTTAGCTCCAACGAGACTTGCATTACAGAGGAGTCAGGCAAAGCCGCAATGTTAAATTCGTTCTTTGAACATTGCACCATTGAAACTGACCCAATCCCTTTAATTCCTCCGTTGTCTGATGCTTCTCTTAGCATCATTAATTTATCTCCTGAATGTATTCAAAAACTGATAAGCCATCTTCCTAACTCTCACTCAGTAGGTACGGACAATATCCCAAACTCTTTTATAAAACAGCTAAGAGATTTTCCTCCTCTGCTTAGCAAAATCTTTTCAGTATTTCTCGTAAATGGCTTCTTCCCTGGCTATTGGAAAACTTCTATTATTATTCCAGTATTTAAGTTTGGCTGTCGTTCTGACGTACAGAACTATCGAGGTGTCCATAAAACACCCTCTCTCGCCAAAATCTTTGAAAAAATTATCGCCGTAAAAATTACCGAATTTTGCATAGCCAATCAAGTTATTAACCCTTCCTAGCATGGTTTTTCACCAGACCGCGCTTGCGAAACATGTCATATGTCGTTTCTCAGTCTACTTACCTCTCTTCGTAAGGACCATCTATCTCTTGTCGGTATTTATTTTGATCATAGTTAAGCCTTTGATAAAGTACCACATAAAAGACCCTTGGTTAAATTGGAAGCTATGGAAATTCGCAGTCCACTAATAGACTTTCTCAGGTCATACCTGTCTAATCGTAAACAAAAGATTTTAGTGGGATCTTCACTTACCAGTGAAAGCCCTATTGTAAGTGGTGTCTTACAAAGTGCAGTTTTAGGCCTTCTTTTCATCCTGCTTTAAATAAATGATATCTCGGCAGCAGTAAAACATTCTCAATCATTTATTTATGCCGACGATCTCAAATGTGTATATTCTTTCAAAAAATCTACGACCCTTCATTGCTTCCAGCAAATTCATGCGGACTTGCTTGCTCTCTCAGCGTGCAGCTCAAAATGGCTAATGGAATCCCCTCCGCCTAAATCTCGCTATATGTGTTTTGTATCTGATATGTTACATCCCATCCAGTGGTCTTTCAAGTCACACATAAGACTGAATATACAACTATCGAGGCTTTAGGTGTAAGCTACATTAATAATCTTGATCTCTCGCCATACGCTGACAAAATCACACCCAAAGCTGCCCAGATTTGTGGCTTTATTTCTTACAATATCTATCTTCCCGAAATTAAATTTAGACTTTATTATATGTTTTTACTTCACCTTCTCGAGTCTTGCTGACCATTCTTTGGTTTGATAAACGGGGCTAGTCGTTCAAAATTTGAAAATGTTCGAGGACGTTTTACTAGAAAACTTTTAGGCACGGAACATCCAAATATCTCCTACTCAGATAGATGCCAACTAACTATCCTAACACTTTCATAGGTTCGAAGACTAGAAGCTTTAATAGTAGTTCAAATCTTCCTCGGATTACAGCACTCACCCCTAGTAGTCGCCAATACAGTCTTTGCAACTCTTTCCGATTTTACCTCCTGTTGCTTCCTCCACATGTAAGTGCTTTTTTCGCTTTCAAGTATACTTTCCTCTGGAATAGCCTTCCAATAAATAAAAGATCTTCAGATAATCTGCAATCTTTTAAGAGAAGGCTGCGCCTTTTGTCTGAATACTGACTCGATTTAACTTTTATTTTCTTTATGACACCGAGAAAAGGCCACCGGTAATTTAGGACGCCGCCATTGACTTTCCGGATCCGCTCACATTTCCTTCTTTTGTGCGTAGTATCGCTTCCTATGATCTCTCATCAAAAGTGTTAATTTTTCGGTTTTTCACTCCATCCATTGTGCCCTCACAGAATGCGCACTATCGACGCTCTTGGCAGAACCTTCTGTATTCGCCACATAATAGTAGTCTGGACGCATCTCCCTTGTACTCTCCTCATCTGGACTCGACTGGCTGTAATCGATCGCATCTGACTTCCTGTCGCCTCGAAACTGGTTTTCTATTCGCCACTTTGACACGAATGGCCACATACGGCATATAAATGCTGCCCTGATAATGCCCGTTTTCAACCTTTTACTCAAGACCACATACAGGCCAGTCCTGCCTGACTCGCCTCCTTAGCCCTTCATGAAATCCGTTATACACTGCCACGTACAGGCCGGTCCTGTCTGCTTTTATACATTCTGTAACGAGAGTTTTTTTCTCCTCTAGTTCTAATCCAGTCATGCTCATTTTTTATATGTTAAGAGTTTTTTTCACTGCTGGCTCACCATTCTTCGTAACATACTACTTGTTCAATAACTATGAATTAAGTATTGTATGGATTCCGTATACCTATTCTAAAATTCTAAAATTCATGCAAAAGTTATTCTTACTTGCTATGAAATGACCCCCATGAGTCTTGAATAAAAATTCTTTTTATTGTTATCATTGGAAGAAGAAGTTAGAGCGATCTCCGGGAGGAAAATTTAATTACCTGACGTTTCGCTCTCGTACTCAAGCACATCATCGGAGAAAAACTAAATGATGAGCGCATGGTTTAGAAAGGCCATTCTTGCCCGCACCTGATAGATCCATCCCGCTCCCTTCTTATTGGCTCTCATCTCTCGCGGAAGTGGTGCCTGGCGTTCGCGTATGGCGCTGTATGCCGATGCTGCGGTTGAACAAGTTGGCGTCCGATTGCCAGGCTACGATAACTTCTCTCGCTAGTTTGCCTTCGGCTTGGCCGGGGACATGGCACCGACAAAGTCGAACCTTTGTTTACTTTCTAGACCGTGCATGACGACGCGCTATCCGACACCCCTTTGCTTTACGGCTAAAGCGTGCTCAGGCATGCGCGTTTTCAGTCG